CCCAATGGTATAAATGTGGACTTCACAAGCTTCAAAATCTCCCCTCCCACAACCGCATCCCAAAACCAGCCCAGCTTGTACCCGCCTCCCTAACCTGTCCTCCCGACTATCCACTCCTCCCACCTCAAGCCCCACCCCCATCTCCTACCTACTAACCTCATCCCGCCCCCTTGACCTGTCCCTCCTCTCTGGACTGACCTATCTCCTCCCTACCTCCCCACCTACACTCATGTTTACTGGCTCCATCCCCGCCTCTTTGACCTGTCTGTCTCCTCTCTACCTATCTTCTCCTCTATCCATCTTCTATCCGCCTCCCCCTCTCTCCCTATTTATTTCAGAACCCCCTCCCCCTCCCCCATTTCTGAAGAAGGGTCTAGGCCCGAAACGTCAGCTTTCCTGCTTGGCCTGCTGTGTTCATCCAGCTCTACACCTTGTTATCTCAAATTATAATTGATGTTGGGTTATATTTATGGAGGGAGTATTTTGTAATGTGAAGGCAGAATTTACAATAGGCCTGGCAACCACTTGAATGATAATAAGAAATGAGTAACAGATATAAGTAGAGAGATAACAAGGTGTAGAGCTGGATGAACACAGCAGGCCAAGCAGCATCAGAGGAGCAGGAAGGCTGACGTTTCGGGCCTAGACCCTTCATATATTTTCTGCTGCCAGGGTCAATGTCCAGTGTGGAATGTTTGAGCGGGAACTGGAAAGTGGGCTAAGAATCACTTCCTCAAGAGCATCGATGACAGGCCATTGACCTGAAACATTAACTGTTTCTATCTCCGTGGGTGCTGCCTAACTCCTAGCATTTTCTGTTTTTACTACCACGAGATCCCTGCCCAGTTAGTACAGCATGTGATCACTGACCAGAATCATATATTGGATTGAAGCAGGTTCTCAAAATAGGCAAATGTCCAAGTTAAGTTTTAAAATAACTGTCAGTGGCATGATAAGAAGTTGGTTTTTGGGCAATTAACTACTAGCTCAATGATCCACACAAAAAAAAGAGTGCTGAAGGTCAACATCAACATATTTGCATAGAGATTTTAAATATCCCAAGGTATTTTATAGGACCGATGTGAAGCAAAATGATTTACCAAGCCACATAAAGCAAGAACTATAACTGAAAAAGCTGTACCTAGGATGGTGCTGTAAGTGGCAACTCATATCACTTATCACTGTACTCATGCAAATATCATAGAATGATGATGTGACAATAAAGCTAATTCTAATTCTAACTGTATTACAGCAGCTAGCCAAAGACCTAGGCTTTAAGAAGTGTCTTTGAGGGAGAAAGACAGGTAGAGGCAGAAGGGATTATGGAGGGAATTCCTGAGCTCAAGGTCTAAGCAGTTGAGCAGACAGTCAGCAATTATGGAATATTGAACACTGGAGATGCTGAAATGGCCAGAATTAATCAGACTTAAGAATCTCAGAGGGTTGCAAAGCTGGAGAAGATTACAGTGATATGGAAGGGTGAAATCATGAAGAAATTTGAAGACAAGATTGAGAATTTTAAAATCAGGGGCTGGTGTCAGCCAACAAGCACTGGGGTTACTGGGTGAAGGAGACTGAGAGAGTACAAATAACAAAGTTCTGGGTGACTTCAAGATTTCTGAAGATAAGTGTAAAAGAGCAATTCAAGACTGCTTTGGAGTGATCAGGTCTCAAGGTAATAAAGGCATTAATGAGAACTTCAGCCACAGATGAGCTGAGGCAGGGTTAAAGTTGGTGATGTTACAGATGTGGAATAAACAGTCTTAGTTATGTCTGTGATAACAGTAACAGTCTGTGTTCAGAAGCTCATGTTAGGGTCAAATTAAACATCAACAGGAACTGATCTGAAAGCCTTCTCCACAATTACAACATCACCTTCTTTCCCTCACTGATGCTGATTTCCTTATTTATGTCTTTGTTACCTCCAGGATAGATTATTCCAATGATCTCCTTTCAATCCTTCCAAACTCTATGTTAAGAAAAAAACATGTCAATGTTTCACTGCTGATGTTCTATGCTATTGTATTTCCTTCTTGCCCTATTATTTGCATCAATCTTCACAGGATCCCCTATCTTCATGTATTGATATCTGAATCATTTTTAACACCCCTGTGGCATTTTTTGACTATACCTCGAGTTGTTACCTTCTTTGTAAACTTTCTTCTCTTCTCTCTGGAGTGTTGTTTGCCATTTCAGCTGTGGACTCAGATATACTCAGCAAATTTCTCCAACTTGTTATAATAAAAGCAAAATACTGTAGACACTGGAGGTCAGAAATAAAAATTGGAAGTAATAGAGAAACTCAACAGTTCTGGCATCATCTATGGGAGAGAGAAACAGAGCTAACGTTCTGAGTCAATTAACTTTTTTTTGGAACTGTTCCATTTCATTAACACTGCATTTACTATCTTCAACATTTACTTCCTCTACTGGCAGCAGTGTGTACTATCTGCAGGATGCAAAGTAAAAACTGACAAAGGCTTTTACAACAGCATTTTGCAAACCAGCAACTTCTGTCATCGAGAAGGACAAGGCAGCAGATGCTTAAAAAAATACCATTACCTGCAATTTACCCTTAAAAGCCATAATGTCTCTCCTGACATTCACTGCCCAAAGCTGAACGCAGTGTGCGAGATGATGTCTAGAGAAAAGAGCCAGCATTCCCTCAGTCTGTTTGATTTATTTTGAACCTGATGCTAGAGGTCAGAAATAAAAACTGTAAATACTAGAGAAACTCAGCAGGCCAAGGAGCATCTGTGGAGAGAGAAACAGAGTTAATGTTTCGAGTCCCATACAACTCTTCTTCAAAGCTGCTTCTCTGTGTTGTTAGCTGTCTACCATGATGCCTGTAATTCCTTTTCCTTCACTTTGGGATAAGTTGGGTAGAATCTACTGCCTTTCTCCACAATGAATTTGATGGTAAGAGGCATTTATGGAGAATGGAGAATGGAGAATGGAGGATGGAGAATGGAGGATGGAGAATGGAGGATGGAGAATGGAGAATGGAGAATCTATCACCTTCCCATCTTCACTCTACTTAAATAGGTAGTAGAAAAGCCCATGAATTTTTATTTTAGCTTCACTGCCAATTCAGTTCCTTAAATGAGAAATTATCATCCAATGAAGGGCTTCATTCCCGTGGTATTAACCCAGTAGCAGCTGCTTTTAAGAGAACACAGCAATCAAACCCCTTGATGAGCCTTTATGTTACCTTGTGATGATGTGTTGTAGCATTAGTACTTTAATCTGTAAATCAAATTAACCTGACTGCATTTTGTTCAAATCTAACTGCAGCTTTGATTCTTAGAAAAGAGGTGGAGACCATTACAGTTCTGGAAAGAATAAACTGAAAAGCACAACAGCAAGAATATGTGGTGACAGTCATTGGACCTCATTGAGTCTATCTTCTTCATCACATGAAAATGTTTGCTGGTCCACAGAAGAGCAAAGGCACCCATCACCATTGAGGCTCACGGTCCTTTTCCCAGGCAGAGGAGGACTGGGCAGAACTAAATAGTTGTGAATGAGACAAGAAAAACATTGCAACTATTACAGAACAGTTAAAACATCTCTGTAAGGAGATCGTTTAGGTTCTAATTTTAGCAAGACTCAAAGCCAATAACCTTGGGGTACCTCCATTAAAGAAAAACGGAAGATTTTTACTTTAATTGCAGATTTGTCTCATGAGTGACATGGGGACATTGCCTGAGGTAAATCAAACTATGTTTAAATCCAAATTGGCCTACTTTTGTTCATCTACTGCTGATGAAGATATATATATGCAAAACAAACCCTTCACCTAGAGATGATAAATATAACTGCAAGCTGCCCAGGTGCAAACATTGTGTTTGTATTTCTCAAACAGACCCTTATTAATCTGTTATTGTCTATTTACTTTCTGTTTTCATAGTCTGTTCCTGGCAGTTTAGTATCTCCTGGTGTGTCCTGTTGCAATAAGCAGCTGCCCTGTCAACATCAGTGAAAAATGAGGTAATAAGGCAGACAAGTTAACCCATTGGCTTTTGAATTTCTTTTATTTACAGAACAATAATTTTTGCAATGGAATAATGTAGGTGTTTGAAAATGGAGAAGGAGTGAAAAACAAGAAAAATAAGAAGAAGGGTTGATCCAGGATTGTGTTAAATTTCCGAGGTTCATTCCCCACATGTAGGAAAATAATGACAAAAAGCAGACCTTAATCTTTTAATTAGAAACATTTGGGACAAGAATGTTTAATTTTCTTCCTTCTGCCATGGTTAACTATCAATTTGTTTTTTTAAAAAAACTGAAACTCAGAATGGTTACTTCAGACATCGGAGAATTAGTCTCCACTGAAAAAGGTAAATCGGACACAATAGGCAACTCTCTATCTTGTGCTGACAGATTGATCTCACTGTAATTATAATGTGACTGAATCCTTTTGGAAAATCACTGGAATGAATTGTGAAATGAGTTTTGTTTTATTTGATAGTGTGCCAGTACTTCAGATCCATTGGGAACATACTATCCATCTTCATCCAAGCTCCCTTTGGGAGGAACTATTAACCAGCGGGAAGGGACAGTATATGACAGCATCATTCGTCATGACTTAGGAAAGCCTGGCCAATTTCTCCTGGGAAATATTAACACGTTGTCAGGGGTCACTAAATCAAGTGGCATCTTACAGCAACTGCCCATCCTCTGAGGATTGCCACGTCTCCTATTACATAGATTTCTTCAAGAAGCTTAAGCCGCGCATAATTGATGTTGTCTTAAGACAGCTAAAGTTTACCAAAAATCACATGATCTGTTGTTGACAAGATATGTATTAAATGGTTATGAAATGACATTGCTGAAGGTTTCCAGATATTTTCAGTCTGTACTGTCTGTTCCACCCAGTAAATTGTCATGTGTAGCCTGATCCACGTCAGTCCCTGTAACATTCCATCAGACTACAGTCAGCATGTGATAGGATTTCAGTTTCTACTGGATAATAGTCACTACCATTGTGCTAAGTGCAACACAATAAAGAGTACATCTCAAAGACAGCAACGTTATTATTTATGGTTTGATGCTGCTGACTATCAATTTATATTCTTTTGTGAGATATTATTGCAAGATATTCTGTATCATCATAAGGGGTGTGACATTTTGCTCCCCAGGATTTCATTGGGATCTGTTACGCAGCAGGGGTTCCTGGAACAGTCACTAGGAAAAGAATCAGCAAACTGTTGCAGTTTGGCTTTAAAGTTTCAATGGTCATTATCTAAAGATTTTCAAAGAGGTAAGTTCAGAATATTGAGATAAATCAAATTTGAATTCCCAGTTTCTATAATTCCCAGTATCAAGAGCAAATTTAGGAAGGACAGTTCAATGAAGTTAAGGAAACATTTACCCAGAAAAGATGATGTTATAATTTGCAAATTTCCCCATGGAATTGACTATAGCCAGCCAAAGTTATTCAGAGGTTTGCTGGGGGACTCTACCAACTTACAAAATTGGAGGTGTGGTGAAAATGTTGAGAGAAACAAATGGTAAGGATGTTCATACAAATTTTTTTCTCGAGATAATGAAGTTTTTTATTTATTTCAGAAAAAATCAGTCATGTTATCATTCATTTAGGAAAGTTAAGCCCAAATTAACATGAATGTCAGCTTATCCTCCAGTGAGTTGCTGAAGGTACCAAACCAGGTTTATGTACCTGGGCTATAATTGTGCCCTCACTTCTGCCAGTTGAGCGATTGGGACATCAGTTGAAAGACTGAAGGATCCCTCACCTTTGGGGTCCCTACCATTGGCTCACCCACTGCTACCTAGAACCACATCCCAATTCTGCACCCCTCTACCTGCCCCCACCAAACCTACATGGTCAGAACTTAGCTTACGTTTTTCCTTCATTAATTTATGTATCACACTACAGTTTGGAGAATCTTATTCAGGCCCAAGTAGCAGCTGAATTTGCCTGATATCTATGACTGTGATATCTGTGACTTTGAATTTTGGTGTCAGTTCAAAACCCATCCACTGCAAGAGCAATAAGTCCCAGAAGGTTTTAATTCCCCTGTCTCCCTTAAAAGGCACTAGCCAACTTTACACTATTTTCTATTCCGGAAATTGGCAGGAAATTCAGGGAGCCCACAGGCCACCTGCCAAGACAAGGTAAGTGCTGGGATTAGTTTCAAAATCTTCATGTTTGAATGGCAATTGAGTACCAAAAGATTTTCTGATTCACACACATACTGTCATGTTTTCGGTAAATATGCTGTGGTTTTTCCTCTCCTTTAAAAGAGTTGGTATCTCTCATTTCTTTGAATAGAACACATTGAGTACAGGTTCCATGCATACAGGAGTCTGGATCTTTATAGGTTTCCCATGGACTTTATAAAATTCAGCCCAGAACTGGAATCCAAGGATGTGTGCTGAAATACGATTGATGTTCACTCATAAAGGATTACACATCCAGAGGCAAGTATGTGTCTTTTCCCTATCTTATTGCAATTCCTGCTCATTCAGTCTTCAGTGTAATTTTGAAACGCCCAACAGGAATTTAGCATCTTCCCGTTGCGTGTAGACACTAACAGCTAAACTTGTAACAAAATTTTGTAGATTTTGTAAATTTTAGATCCCTGCTCTAAACTGTATGAAATTAGAAAGCTTCAGTGGTAATTAATTACGGTGACTTGGTAACACATAAACCAAACTTAACAGGCAAATTCATCAAATTAATTTGTGTCAGCACCACTATGGGTATGAATTGTTTCTGGAACTTTATAAATTGAATTACAGTGAAATCATTAAAGTGAAATGACTGGAGTCGACAGCGAATGTGTGAATCTCGTTGAAGATGAATGCCCTGGGAAGGTAGAAAATATCTACATGTAGACTCAACATCCAGAGGATGAATCTACGAGTAACAAAACTTGAACAGAGCTCTGATGGTGGGTGAAGAATCTTGTGACATCTGTGACCTTCCTGGAATGCAATATCACATTGTGGTGTACACTTTTAAGCTTATAGTACACAGAAGATGTTACACATAAACCTCAATGTATTGGTCATGTATTACTGCCTTTTTGTGAAGGAAGTGTAGCAGGGAGGAGAGCATGCAGGGCATAGGGAAGGTCACTTGTATTTTGAGCTGTTGGTTTGAGTCTGAAAAAATATTTTCCAAAAGCATCTGCACCTCTAAACTATTAACCCTATCACGTTGTCAAAACTCTTGAGCTGAGTATGATATAGTTGAGACATTATTTTATGCATTATTTATAAACACCTGATAATGTGATGTTTTAATAAGGTTGCCCTCATTCTTCTAAATTCCAACAAGTATAGGCCCAACTTACTCAACTTCTCCTCATAAGAAAATCCCTCCAAACCTGGACTGCCTCCAATGCAAGTATCCTTAGATAAGAGTCTCAAAACTGTCTACAATATTCCAGCTGTGGTCTGACTAGTATTTTGTATAGTTTTAGCAAAACTTCCCTGTTTTTGCACTCCATTCCCTTTGAAACAAAGGCCAACATTCTATTCGCCTTCCTTGTTGCCTGCTAACCTTGAAGGTTTGCGATTCGTCCATGAGGACAGATTTGTATCATCGAAAACCACAAGGGAGATACTGGCAAACTGGAGGTTGGATAATGTGGTGCCATTATTTAAGAAAGGTGGTAAGGAAAAGCCAGGGAACCAAAGACTGGTGAGCCTGACATCAGTGGTGAGTAGGTTGTTGGAGGGAATAGTCAACATGAGCTTGTGCATGGGAAATCGTGACTCACTAACTTGATTGAGTTTTTTGAAGAAGTGACAAAGATGATCGATGACGGCAAAGTGGTGGATATTATTGAAGTCCATATAAACAAGGTATTCTACAAGGTTCCACATTGTAGACTGGTTAGCAAAGTTAGATCACATTGAATACAGGGAGAACTAGTGATTTGAATGCAACATTGGCTCGAAGGTAGGAGACAGAGTTTGGTGGTGGAGGATTGCTTTTCAGACTGGAGGCCTGTGACCAGCGGTGTGCCATAAGGATCAGGGCTGGGTCCACTGCTTCAGCCATTTATATAAATGATTTTGATGTGAACATAGGAGGTATGGTTAGTAAGTTTGCAGATGACACCAAAATTAGAGATGCAGTGGACAACAAAGAAGGTTACCTCAGAGTACAATGGGACCTTGATCAGATGGGCTAATGAGGAGTGGCAGATGGAGGTTAATTTAGATAAATGTCAAGCATTGCATTTTCATAGGGCAAGTCAGGGCAGGAATTATACACTTAATGGTAAGGTCTTGGTGAGAGTTGCCGAACAAAGAGATCTGGGGATGCAGGTTCATAGTTTGTTGAACGCAGAGTCACAGGTAGACAGGACAGTGAAGAAGGCCTTTGGTATGCTTGCCTCTATTGGTCAGTGCATTGAGTATGGGAGTTGAGAGGTTATGTTGCGGTTGTACAGGACATTGGTTAGGCCACTTTTAGAAGACTGATGTTGTGAAACTTGAAAGGGTTCAGAAAAGATTTAAAAGGATATTGCCAGGATTGAAGGATTTGAGCTATAGGGAGAGGCTGAATAGGCTGGGGCTATTTTCTCTGGAGCATCAGAGGCTGAGGGGTGACCTTATAGAAGTTTCTTATAAATTCATGAGGGGCATAACCTGGGTGAATACTAATAGTCAAGGTCTTTTCCCCAGGGTAGGGAGAGTCTAAAACTAGATGCCATAAGTTTAAGGTGAGAGGGGAAAGATTCAAAAGGGACCTAAGGGGAAACATTTTCATGCAGGGAGTGGTGTTGTATGGAATGAGCTACCAGAGGAGGTGGGGAAGGCTGGTACAAGTACAGTATTTAAAAGGCATCTGGGTGGGTACATAAATATGAAGGGATATGTGACAAATGCTCATAAATGAGACTTGGTCAGTTTAGGATATCTGGTCAGCATGGATAAGTTGGACCAAAAGATCTGTTTCCGTGCTGCACACCTCTAGACTGTATGACTACATGACTCCAAATTCCTCTGTGCTGCCACGGTTGGTCCCCATTTATATAATATTCAGCTTTTCTATTCATCCTGCCAAAGTGCATAACCTCACATTTCCCCACATTACATTCCATCTGCCATGTTTTAGTCCACTCACTTAATTTGTCTGTATCGCTCTGTAGACTCTTTGTGTCATCCTCACCACTTGCCTTCTCACCTACTTTTGTGTCAGCCGCAAACTTGGCTACAGTGCATTCATTTTCCTCATCCAACACATTAATACATGTTGTAAATAGCTGTGGCCGCAGCATTGGTCCCTGTGGCACTCCACTAATTACAGATTGGTCTATCCTGGAAATGCCCTCATTATCACAACACTCTATCTTCTATTACTTAGCCAATCCTCTATCCATGCTAATATTGCACCCCCAACAGCACAGGCTCTTATCTTTTAAGTAGCTCATAGTGCAATCATTTATTGAACACCTTTTGGAAAATGTTACAGTGTAAGCTTTGACTCAGTTGGTGGTTTCAATGGCTCCTCTCAGTCATAAGGTCCTGAGTTTGAGTACCAGGTCAAAAACCAAGTCTGACACTGCTGTGTAGAATTGACAGATTGGTACCCATTGGATTAGAATAACCTAAGGGCCCACCTGTCCTCTTAAGTGGTTGTAAAAGATCCTGTGGCTCTATTTCAAATAGGAGCAAGGGAAGTATACCTCACGTCTTGGTCAGTATTTAGCATCTCATACAACACAAAATATCATCACATTGCTGTTAGTGGGAACATACGGTATACAAATTGACAGTGGCATTTCCTACATTACCACAGACATTACACAGCTACAGTCATTGGCTATAAAGTACTTTTGGATGGTTTGATGTTATGGAAGATTTTTTCTGGCAAATGTCTTGTTTTCCGGCATATAATCCATTAAACATTGTGCCAAAATAAAAAAAAACCTCTTTTTCCACTAGCCTGTTTTAGTTTATGATTTAAGAACTGCACTTTCTACTTGTTTCTTTCTACTTGTTTGTTTTACTTGAGGAGAGATGTAGTTGTATTGGAGGCAGTTCAGAGGAGGTTCACTAAATTGATCCCTAATGAGGGAATTGTCTTATGAGGAAAGATTGAGCAGTTTAGGCTTCTAGTCTCTGGAGTTTAGGAGAATGAGAGTATATCTAACTGAGGTACGTAAGATGCTAAAGGAGATGGACAAAGCAAATGTAGAAAGGATGATTCCTTATGTGGGACAATCTAGAATGAGAGTTCATAGTTTTAGGATAAGTTCTGGCAGATTTAAAAGAGAGATGAGGAGAAATTGTTGATACAGTGTGGAGCTGGAATACCACAGCAGGTCAGGCAGCATCAGAGGGGGTAGGAAAGTCAATGTTTCAGGTTTACACCCTTCATCAGGAATGGCCATGAATTTGTGAAATTTAATTGCCCAGAATGAGTGGATGCTGTAACACTGAGTAAATTTAAGGAGAAGATATATAGATTTTTAACAAGCGATGGGTTGAAGGGTTATGGAGAGCAGACTGGAAAGTGGAGTTGATGCTGAGAAGAGATTGGCCATGATAGTAATAAATGGTGGAGCAGCCTGGAGGGGCTGAATTGCCTACTCCTGCTCCTAGTTCTTATGTCCACATCATTCACTTTTGTCTTCTGTTCATACTCTTGTTTCCAGTTACTGCTTTATAACAGTGCCAAGGAAATGCTGAGATATCCCCACATAGAAATGAAATGATCAGCATCAGTTCAATCAGCTGAAGGATGACATTGTTCATCTTGTGTTTGTGACCAGGTTACTGTCAATACAACAAGAACCACACCATGAACCATGGGGTACTTTACCTTTAAGTACTTTGGTAATTTTCAATTTGTGAGAATCGAAAGAGATAAACCACAAACATTGGAGAACAATATAAAAAATGCAGCTTTTTTTTTCAGTGAATGAATCCACATTTTGTTGCAGTTAAAATCCCACTTAATGCAACCCAGGAAGGATCCAGGATGCTGACGTGGAGGAGTTGAGTATGTGGTTTGAATGTGAATGTAGACTATTGTTTCCCAGTATCACAACTCTCTCTTCCCATTCCTCACAATGAGCAGAATGAAGAGACAGCGCCCCCTATTGTTTTCATAAATACTAACTGGCCGGAAGGCAAAGTGTAGTTGCTGGCCGGCTATTGCTGTGTACTGTCATACTGCCTAGATTTCAAGACCTCTATTTAAATAAAGTGCTGCAAGGAGATACAAATCAAATAATAATCTATTTTGCTGTTGAATTTGTATTTGTGCAGGTTGTATTTTTTTCAATTTTCTAACTCTAAACTAATCAAAAATATTTCATCTTTCCTCATTCTGCAGCCTTCCCAGCTTCAGTTTACTACTATACTTGTGGGAAAGCCCTTCACTTTTCTCAGGCCTTCTTTGATACTCCTCCAAGACCAATAACTTGGAATGTGTGGAATTAATGATATGATCCCTATAGGGCTGCTTGGAGAAGCAGCACATCTATATACCTCACTCTGCTACCTCCTCCAAAAGCAATTAACTTTTAAAGTGCGGCATAACTATCTAAGTTTAAAAGCACAAATATAGCATTTGATGAACCCATGTGGTGATAATAAGCAACAAATGTATTAAAATATACTGCTTTTACAATATTAGAAACAATAGCTCCTGCAATACAATACAAAAGGCAACACAACATAAACGGGTACGAACTGCCTATTTTCTTTCAGCACCAGCTATAGAAAGTCTTTGGGAAAATACTTGTTCTTCAGTGTTTGCTTTTTTCAATGTTTATTTGCATTGACATTATCTCATCTGGTGAGACTGGGCAACAGGTCGATCTGTCATTCTAAACATGGATTAATAAGAGATTGGGGACTGGTAAGGTCAGCTTTGAAGGGCTAGTTCACTGCAAACCTTTTGAAACAGAATAAATACTGCACTTGTCAGCTGTTACCTTTCTCTAAACAGTATGTCAGCATAAAAAGGCATATGTCCTTTGGGAACAAACTTTGCAAGTGCAATTTCATCCCACTTAGTAGTACAGTAACCCCGCTTTGTAAAGCAAACATGGGAGTTATGCTACATCGCTAGAAAAGTAGAATGTAGATTAGAGCAAATGGGATATTATACGTCTTGATTTCTTACATGGAGCCAATTACCTATGTACAAAGCATCTACAACAGTAACAGTGTGGTATGCTGTCCAAAGCCTATAGGGAAATTGTCCTTGGGTTGCTCTCTGCTGTGCTGTGTGTAATGCAGGGGCAGGGTGGGGTTGTAGGTGGTGGTGAGGAAGCAAATACACAGCAGTGTGGGATTCCATTTAACAATATAACCTTTCCTGACCCCTTTCTAATTTCTGGAGTCAGGTGTATTTACACATTTTCGGCAGCTGCTTCTATTGCCTGATATGGCCCAGCTGCCTATTTGTGAACAGATCTATTATGTGTTCATCCTTCAAATACAGCCCAGATTTGGACAGGCAGAGAAGAAGTGGGGATCCTGTGTATGTGGCCTCTGCTGCAAATTTCCACTCTCGTCTCTCAGGAGGTTGTGGCTAGTTTCACTGAATAAAGTTTATAAAATCAGGAGGGGCATGGAGTGAGTGAATAGCCAAGGTCTTTTCCCCAGGGTGGCAGGATACAAAACTAGAGGGCCTAGGTTTTAAGGTGAAAGGGGAAAGATTTAATTGAGACCTGAGGGGCAATGTTTTCATGCAGAGGTTGGTGCA